GGAGATCCTCGAATTGTTGAATAGGTGCAGTCTAGCGTTGTCGCCAACCCACTACTACCAATATCAGTTGACTAAACCACGCTTAAATCGAAAAATATTAGGTTGGTAACTATGAAATGTCGTTTTAATCAACGACTACTTTAAATGTAAAAGCTACATCGAAGCACATCAACCTAAATTATTTCCTCCATGTGTCATTCGCTCTTCACCTTTTGTTACGCAAAGCATGGAGGCCTACCTCGTAGAACTCTTTCAGGTACGACTCGAAGAAGTTAGGTACTCAAATTTTGACGTCGTCGCGGTTATTGAATTGGTTTGCTGCTAAGGAGCGCGGCATTGACCTGGTCAGTGATAGTTGGACGGCGCCAGATCTGAGCTATATGGCGCGAAGGTAGAACGTTCTAGCCCAACTCCCCGATTTCTTGTTGCTGATTTTCGCGACATGTAATCTTGCGTTATCGTGCCGGATTTACCGCTTGACGACGCAGAGCTCGATTCACGCACGCAAGTTGTTGTGCATAGGGTTCAGCTGTAACTGTCTGACCCACAATCAGCTCTCCATAGTGAGCCATTCTTATACTGCTTCACCATACTGCAGCAAGACTTTTTCTCTGTGGCTGTCCGGTTTCGGAGAGGCCCTCAGCTGCCCATCTGTTGCCAACCACGGCCATCTTCTCACTTTGTTATCGGGGAACATCCTTCTGTAAAACACGCTTTCAACGAAGTCAGAACCTTCTTCTTCTTGGAGTTATGGAGCAGAGTTCCAGTATTGGCAACCAGTACTGCTTGCTCGCGTCGCTCAGAATAGGCCGAACCCATTTTCTATCCTGAAAGGCCTTAACAGTCGCACGTAGAAACTTTTAAATTTTTCTGTTGACACAACTGAATCTCCATGCAAGTTTTGTGTCGTTTGTCAAAGACTCGATTCGTTGTAGTACTTCAGGGGCTTCTGAACGAGGAGTTCCCCCACAAGAACAACTCACGGGCAGAGGCCACAGCTGGTCCCATCGCACTCTGGACAAGGATGAGGTTAGGTGTGCACTTGGGAGGATGAAGGTTGGAAAGGCGGTTGGCCCAGATGGGGTGCCAATCGAGGCATGGAAGGCGCTCGGAGAGTACGGCATAAGGTGGCTCACCAGCTTCCTGAACAAGGTAACTGTGGAAGGAAGATGCCGGATGCCTGGAGAACAAGTACTATCGTCCCCATCTTCAAACAGAAGGGTGACGCGATGGACTGCTCCAACTACCGCGGGATCAAGTTGACTGCGCATACCATGAAGTTGTACGAGCGACTGGTCGACTCGAAGCTGCGGGAGCTGGTCCCGATCTCCCAGGAACAGTTCGGGTTCATGCCCGAAAGGTCTACAACGGATGCCATCTTCATCGCAGGCAAGTGATGGAAAAGTATCGAGAAAAGCGCCGACCCTGCTACCTAGCCTTCCTCGACCTGGAAAAGGCGACCGACTACCGCGAGCAGTACTATGGAGATCGCTCAGGGAACGAAACGTGCCAGAACACCTGATCTCTCTGGTGAAGGACATGTACGAAGGAGCCAAGGCAGCCATACGCACCCCACACGGCCTAACGAAGGAGGTGGACATCACGGTTGGGGTGCACCAAGGGTCAGCTCTGAGCCCGTTCCTCTTCCTCCTAACACTAGATGTCCTGGTGAAGGGGCTCATGGAAGGACCACTAAAGACCATCCTCTACGCTGACGACATCGCCCTGATAGCAGAGAAGAACTTCAAGCCAAGGTGCAGAAATGGCAGAAAGTCCTGGCAGAAGGTGGGCTCCGGCTGAATGTCAAGAAGACCAAGTTCCTGAGCTCCGAAGAGGGTGCAGAGCCGATCGTGGACGGCCATGGTGAGACCATCGAAAGAGTGAGGACTTCCGCTACCTTGGGAGCGATCTGGCAGCCGACGGTGGTGTGGATCAGGCAGTGAAGGCTCGGTCAACGCTGCATGGATGAAATGGAGGGAGTCCACTGGAATCCTCTGCGATCGAAGGTGCTCCAGAACGCTCAAAGGGAAGGTGTACCGGACAGTGGTAGGCCTGCGATGCTATACGGCAGCGAGTGCTGGCCCCTGAACAAGAATCACGAAAGGCAGCTTCACTCCGCTGAGATGAGGATGCTGAGATGGGCCTGCGGCTGGACGCGGCTGGACAGGGTCAGAAACGAGGATGTCAGAGCGGTCATGCAGACTGCCCCTGTCCAGCTGAAGGCGAGAGCAGCGTCTGCGATGGTATGGGCACGTGCTAAGGAGGCCACAGGATCATCCGATAAGAAAGCGATGGACTTCGAAGTGCAAGGCAAGCGACCGCGAGGAGCCCCAAAGAAGAGGTGGAGAGACGTAATCAAGAAGGACCTAAGTGAAGTCATGGCCACAGCAGAAGATGCCCTGGACAGAGCAAAGTGGCGACGACTGACAAAGACAGCGGACCCTGCGACTGCGCGGGACTAACGCTAGGGAGAAGAAGAAGAAGAAGAGAAGATACATTAAGCCTTCCTGTGTCTTTCCGCTAGATAAACTGCACTAATTGAATGCCGGAATATTTGAAAAATGACCTTCTTAAAGGAGGTTGGTCAAAGTGTCGCAAGGCTTTACAATGACACAAAAACAAGGTGAATTGAGGGATGCAAATAACAGCTTTATGCTCGACATATTCACCTTGTACTTCCTTCCTAACTCCCAAGAAAATAAATCAGCAAGAGCAACCACGAGGAAGTTGATCGTTCTCTCTGCGAAATTCATTCGACCACTATACGGTAGGAGAAATGCTGTAACGAGATAGTCAATTATCCACAAAAGGAAGCAATCGTAGGTAGAATGGTGGCAACAGATGAATATTACCACAATTTCAACTGAGCTCGAAGAGAACATTCAACAGATGATTCATCAGCATTGCCGTAAGACAACTGCGTCAAGATTAGTTACATTATGACATTCCCATCACCCTCATAACCCTATTCAGTTTTAGGTTCAGAGCATCCTCAAAGCTCTACGAAATTGTTTTCAACTACACTAACAACTTGCTTGTTATGGAAATGGAATAAAGTGAAAGTGGACTAACATGGTACAATGCTCGGGAGTTTTGGCACATCATAATAATCATCCATCGACCCTGCAAGGCCAACTGCTGACGCCGCAATCATGTGATCAAGCCCGATTCTCTGAATTATGCAATGAAAAGCTAACCTGCAATTATGACTGATTCGTTTTAGTTTAGCTTAGAAGTATCATCGGCCGGCAGTTGAAAATTTTTCTAGCGAGGTGTGTCTATTTTTCTGTGATTCATTGATGAGTGAGCGTTATGTGAGATTTTAGGGAATGCAGTAGTAGAAGCTCATGGAGTGGACTATGGGCAACATGTGAAGCTCCGCGGGTGTTCGTAAAAATTTCAATGCCGGTATTTAGTTACGCTTGGCCCTATGTGGAAGATGCGCTGCCTTGCCCGTTAAGCGCTCTCTCTAACTTGGTCCACCAGCAACTCGCGCCGGCCAGCTCGAAGTGTTCACAGAAATGAGGCCCTAGTTCTAAACAGCGAATTGCTATACAAGCAACACTGCTGCATAGAATGCATACTACTTCAGACGTTATCCTTCTATCAAAATCTTCCATTTAGCGGATTTAGTGTGCACGTATGTCGGTCTTTTCGTCCTTCTGTAAAATAAAGCGAATAAGAATGCTGATGGAAGAAGCTAACCGCTAACGAAACTAAGGAGTAGCAGGAGTGGTGCTATCGGGGATTTGAACGACATGGTTGTGATTACACATCCAATAACACCTAGTGAGCCCACTCTCGCTCACTGCACATAGTGCTGCAACAGCTACCAGCAGAGGGAAGAGGGTTTGGGAGGAGGAGGACCAAATACCAACAGGCCTATGATCCATTTGAGTCTTTAGATGTCATTCCAATGTAATGATGGTGATAATGCTCTTCATTATAACGTGTTGCAGATACGCACAAGGTGTTGACCTCACAAATGGAAGGGAGCACGAAAGAAGACGTAAAGCGTACTCAGGTAAAGGAAGTCCTGCGGTTGTCCTGTTGGCAAAAATCTAGTGAAAGGATGTGAATAAAGCATCTATTGTTCTTAATTTACTTTTTGACTACGCTTCAACTCCATTCTGATTCGCTAAGGCAGGCTAAATTCTCACGGAATCTCTTAATCTCTCCCAATCATCCAACAGACTGCAACACTGTGAAACTGCGGCATAGCTCACTTTTCAGAAGGAGAAACTCGCATACTCCAATGTATGCTAATGTACTAGGGGTGAACCATACGTATAGCTTCCCACCCTTTCTAGGCTTTCCCTTGGATCCTTTACCACTGTGCTACCGCTTAGCCCTTTCAGCTGTAGTGGCACCAGTGTTCTCGCCGAGAGACGAACAGAGCGCCGCGTCAACTCTTCTACAACCACTTTAGGTTCTTAGAGGAGAAGGAGCTCCGGGACAACTGAAGTTCACCCATTCCGAAATTTCTTCCGCTCCAAAATCCATCCTGTGGCTCACTTCGCAACATCCAGCACAAAACCGTATAACCTGCAGAAACAAAATGTCGTGGGAACGAAAACGAAACGAAAGCTTCTATGACTTCCTTAAAAAACTCTCGAGCTAAACAGGAAATAGAGCGATTGTCATGAACAGTAGCAACTTTTTTCTTTATCTTGATATGATGAGATAGTGGCAAGTGGGATATGTATCACACTGGATGCGATAAGGAATAAATTTCTGATTGAAGCACTTCTCTGGAGCCGCCTAATGCGATGCTTAGAACCGGATCTTATGCAAGTTCTCAGTCACATAAGGTGTGGTGACTTACATGAACAATACCGAAGCCGCAGTCCGAGCATTTCAGGGCCTTCCCGCGCTCGAAGCGCTCCCATTTTCCAACCCTGCTCATCGTCCCCTATCACGGGGGGGAGAACCCCTGAATCATTACGCTAAATCCTTCACCGCATACTTAATTTATGTGTTCACAAACAAAAACAATGACAAGTACATCGTTGGGTACAAGCAAAGAGCAGGAACTTCCTTCCCAAGCGACTGTCACTCAACAAATGATAACCTTCCAAAGAGATTCCTAATTCAGTGAAAATGCATCTCCTCCTGCTTCATTACTAAACTGACATATGTTGAATAATATATCAATAATGGTGGTGAAGTCCGCTCCTCCAAGTGGTGCCACTGGGAACACTGCTCACCTTCTGTGAGCCTGAGCTGATCGCGGACATTCGAATGCAGGCGACAGGCCCCCCGTGACAGGCCGGCCTACGAACACCCACGTCACATCAAAAATGTCAATGCGCCAAATATTGACACGAGATAAGCTAAGGCGATCCCGACCGACGCGCCACTCGCAAAGCCCGGCGAGTGTGAAAAGTATGCGAGGGTCCTCGGTGCAAGGACGGCATCGGGGGGCAACTAGGCTAGTCCAAAAGTCCCGCAACGTATGCAAGACTCGCGTCGCAACGTTGAATGTTGGCACGTTGTCGGGCCGCTCTTTTGAGTTGGTAGAGACACTGGAGCGCAGACGAATTGATCTCTGTGCTGTGCAAGAAACGAGGTGGTCCTGCTGCAAATCGAAGGACCTTGGCCGTGGCTTCAAAGCCATTCTTTGCGGCAGTCCCGGGACAACTAACGGTGTCGGTGTTATCGTTTCTGAACGTTTCCGTGACTCGATTGTCAGCGTTGAACGTTACGATGACCGCCTAATGAAGATCGTTGTCGCTTTTGAGCAACGTCAATATCACTTCTTCTCTCGATACCTGCCCGGCAGAACAGGCCTCGCGTCACTTCCTGCTCCGAAACACGCCAAGGCGCGCAGTTCTGCCTTCGGCTGAGGACACAAAACAGCTGATGTACCATCGCAGGATGCCCTAATTGTTGCCGGTGACCTAAATGGTCACGTGGGGGCTACGAAAGATGGTTACAGCTGTCATGGCGGATTTGGGTATGGGTCACGAAACGCCGATGGCGAGAGAATTCTAGAGTATGCAAACTCGCACAACCTCACCATCGTGAACACAAACTATCGCAAACGTGACTCCCACCTCATCTCGTTTTACAGTGGGGATACCAGAACCAATTGATTTGTCCCGTCATCAAGCGAATAAAGCTAGGACGGGACACAAGACGGGCGTACGAGACGGTCGCCACGCAACACCCCGACCACTGATCTGCACCCTGAGGATCACTCCTCCGAAAGTAAAGCAAGTTGAACGGTGCGGGCCTGCAAGGATCAAGTGGTGGCGACTGAAAGAAAAAGAATCTGCGCTGTTTTCCCGCATTCGCTTACCGACAGTAACGACCGTCGACGAAACGTGGGAAGCGCACGAAGCGGGGATAGTTCCGTGTCGTGGTCCTCCGAACATCGAACACCACGACAATCCCTCTGGCGTCCGCGAAAAGTGCACCAATAAACAAATCATGCGCGGAAACTAAGATACTGGTCAATGCCAAGCAACGAAACTGCGAGAGACAAGAAAAGAGTCTATCAGCAGCTCACCTCAAGGACAAAACAGCCGAAACTCGGGAAAACATACCTCACAAGAGTTTCACCGAAAAGAAGCTGCCAAAAAAGGAACACCCTGACGATGTAATCGCAACAGCACTGCCCGCACTTGCCACGTACGAGAAACACCAGACACTCAGTCCCGTTCCTTGCCCGCTTCCGCGATTGCGCACCGACTTCTAACAGATCCTACCAAAGCTCGCATCTGCCGCAAAACCGAGACCGACCCATAGTTCGCACTTCGGTACAAACCGGCGGCTCCGAATCACCACGTCAAGAGCCACGAGCTATAAAGCAATCGCAGCAGCACTTCGAAAAGAACCCTCGACAGCAGACATGTCCACCACTCCCGCGCCAAATTCTCTTCGCCCCTCCCTTCTACGCCGCTCCGAAATCAACTGTGAAAAACTGAAGCGGCGCTGAAAATAAGACAGGTAATCAACGCTCCCCGACGACTGCAACCGATCGTTGAATCCACAAGCTGCAACCTGTAAGGTTACGAAGTTCTTCAACCAAGTTGTTGCAGAAAAGAAAGTGCCTGCGAGTTGGTGCCAGAGCACGACGATTCCCATCTGGAAAAAGAAGGGCAGCCCCGCAGACTGCACGAGCTACCGTCCAATTCGTCTACTTTCCCACGCCATGAAGATATTTGAGCGAATTATAGATCGTCGTATTCGCGACATAGTGCAGCTCGCCACGAACCAGTGTGGATTTGTAAGCGGCGTTAGTACCATCGATGCCCTACATGCCGCTCGTCTACTATATTAAAAACACGCGAGAAAACAGGGGAAGCTCTGCATATTTCCTTCTAAACATAGAAAAGCATTCGATCCGTCCGCGTGATGTAATATGGTACGCTGAGACAACGTGGTGTCCCCGAAGAGCTTATTGAGTGGGTTCGCATGCTATACTCGAGCTCAAAGAGCCGAGTGCAAACGTCAGCAGGAACCTCAATGGAATTCCCCATCTCTGTTGGGGTGCACCAAGGCTCTGCACTATCCCCACTCCTTTTCGTTGTCGTCATGGATGCCATATCACGAGACCTCCAGAAACCGGCTCCATGGACGCTCCTCTATGCCGATGACGTGATGCTCGCCTGCGAAGACAAAAACTCACTCGAGCAGCAAGTGCAAGCTTGGGCCGATCGCCTAGCGATGTTCGGACTCAGGTTGAATGTCAAAAAGACCGAGTACTTGACAACCGACTTGAGCGAACACAGTTCGGTAAGAATTAACGGCACAGAGCTATCACGCACGACCACGTTCAAGTATCTTGGATCGGTAATAGCGTCAGGTACTGAAGTGAGTTCACGCGTGAGTGCTGCATGGTCCAAGTGGCGTTCTATGACGGGTGTTCTCTGCGACAAAAAGATTCCAGAACGCCTGAAATCGAAGATCTATAGAACCGTCATAAGACCGGTGGCAATGTACGGCGCTGAGTGCTGGCCCACGACTAAGCAAATGGAAGCCCGCCTCGGTGTAATGGAGACGAAAATGCTGCGCTGGACGGCTGGTGTCACGCGTTTACATCGCATGTAATGATACCATACGCGATCGCTTTGGTGTAGCTCCTATTGCTGATAAGATGCGGGAAGCTCGACTTCGATGGTATGGTCATGTGCTTCGTGGAAACGATGACACTGTGCGTAAGATGAGCCTCAACATCGATGTGCCCGGCAAACGGCCTAAGGGACGTCCAAAGCAGCGCTGGCTTGATACATTGCATATGGACTTAAAGTTAGCTGGTATCCATCCCGATCAGGCATTCAAGAAAAGTGGCGTCAACACATCAGAAAACGACCCTGCCACCACGCGGGGACAAAACGCAAAGAAAAAAGAAGACATATCAATAACATTGGGACCGGACCCACGCGCCGTGGTTGTCACATTGTCTTCAACACTAAATTCTAATAATTCGCCATTTCGCTCTAATGTTAGTGTATCCAATACCAGCCTCAGAAAATAAGGGCCCTGCGCAGCACTGCGAAATAATAAGTTAAGGAAGCAACAGTACTCAAACCACCGAACCACCACCATAACCTTTTTTTTCGTGCTACTTTGGTATGGGGAAATGCCGATGAGCTCTTGGATCGTTTCTGTTGCGTAGAAGTAATGCAGAGCAATCTCAAAAACGGCATTTCTTGGTAGTGCGGTCAGTTGGTTCGCATCCACTTATCGAACTTCTCACTTCCCGATATCTCATGTAGGTGGCAAAACACGTTCGCTGACACACGCAGCCAATCAAGCCATTCTTCTTCGAAGATTCTACGTGGATTCTCTTCGACTAACGAGCTGTTCGTTGTCTGCATCCAGTAGCCGCCCACCACACTCACAATCTTCGAGGCTCTCATAGCCGGTACGAAATTGTTAAATTTCTGCTGCGCTGTACGTAACTCCAACGAGATATATATCAGATCCTCTGCCCTAACTAGTACACACAGGTACCTAAAAACATCTCTTTGCAGAGAGGCATACATGATTAGTTCCTACCTGCATTGGAGTTCCAACATCCCGCGTACTAGCCAGAAACACAATGCACAGAACGAGCTGCCATTCCTTGAGGGAAATATCTCACAGGAAACCGCTCATAAACATCAATTCTGTGCTTCAATTGCAACTCAACAGCTTACCACGCTCAGGCGAGAAGAACATTCGCTTCCGGCCGATAATCCGCAGAACACGCTATAATTGCAACAAGGGTATCAAATACCAAAGGACCCAATATGACCGGGGAAGCGGCGGGGTGAAAAAGTTCGGAGGTGGGTCGTACCCTCGAACACTCGCAGAGTGAGCTAATTAATGCGGCAGTCTATAAAGTTCCGTTGACTCCTTTAGAGCCAATACCCCGTGCATCCCGCAGAAGCTGCATTCCCAAAGAAGCGCGTGAATATCGAGCAGAGATAGACACAATAACTCTGCTCAATTTATTCCATTCCGTAAATCCTGATATGCATGGTCCGTCCCTCTCTATATTTCCAATTAAATAGCAATGAAAATATAGACTGGAGAACAGTAGAGGAAGTGAGAGTGAGATGAGTTGCGAATGGGATCCCCCAGAGAACTGTTTCACATTCGTTATTATATCATTCCATATGTAAGCAAAACGTAACGTATAATGAAGGTAATCTTCAAACTGATAGTTAAGCAGCTTTCAATCAAAATACCAAGTGAAAAAATGCAGAATCATGGAAGAGAACGTCTGAAAGAATCAAGGAGAGGAGTTCGTTCCTGAACTTACAGTCGCATGAGCGAACTTGCAAATCAGTATGAGCGGAAAGCAATTGCACTTGATCGAGAATGGATCTACTGTTCGTATTCCAGACACGAATGTTCCTTGGCTGCAGATCACTAGCAAGTCTTTCAGGAAGAGGAAAGAGAACCTGAAGACGG